ACCTGAGGCCGTGTAGGTGGGAAGAGGGGGTCCCTGGCCCTTCCACCCTTCTTCTATCCTCACCAAGTCCTATGTGCTTGGCCCTGTGCCAAGTGCTCCGCACCAGTTACCTAATCTCCCCAACACACCCAGGAGGTAGATGCTATTATTGCCCTCTTATGGGAAGAGACAGAGAGGAGATGTGCCAAGTTCAATGTCACACAGTCGGGGGGAACTAGGATGGGGCCACAGGTCTTTGTGCCCCCAGAGCAGCCCCTGCTCTTGAGAACTGCTCTCCTGCCTGTAGTGGGGTCAGAGGAAAAAGTGCAGGTGACCTGGATTCTCTTCACGGCTTCTCCAGGAATATGCCCGCTCGCACGTGGCCCCAGCTTCCCGATCTGTCCGGTGGCGGATCATAAATCCGACTGCGCGGTTGCTGCGCGGGTCAGGAAGGAGCTTAGCGGCAAATGGGCATTGGAATGGAGGATGCCTTCTGGGCGCGTGAGGGGCTGGAGCCCTCTGGATCGGTGGCTCCGAACTGGGTTTGAGAAACTCCTCCCTTTGAGCACATGATAAAAGCTGTGCATCTTTGCCCCAGAAAAAACAATGCACGTAATCAGATGCACAGGATGTCCTTCAGTGGGTTCCGGGCCTGCGCTGCCCCACCGTGAACCCCTGCTTAGGGGCCTCTGATTTTACACGAAAGCTTGATGCTGCTCTGAGGATGAAGTTCAGCAAGTGTGGCTTTTCTTGCTTTATAGCTGTGGCTCTTAGGGCCTCGGTTCCTTAGGCCAGAGCCCAGCTTCATGGGCCTGTTGAGCCTCCCTGCATGTGTGGACCCCATCGGTGCTGATTTCCAGGGGAGGCAGGATACGTAGCAGGACTTCCCCAGAAGGCAGAAGGGCAGTGCCCAGATGGCTGGGAAAGAACGACCTGGAGAGGGAATTAAAATGAAATTAGAGGCCGGGTGTGGTGGCTCACGCCTGTAATCCTGGCACTCTGGGAGGCCGAGATGGGAGGATCGCTCGAGGTCAGGAGTTCCAGACCAGCCTGAGCAAGAGTGAGACCCCGTCTCTACTAAAAATAGAAAGAAATGAGCTGGACAACTAAAAATATATATAAAAATTAGCCGGACATGGTGGCGCTTGCCTGTAGTACCAGCTACTCGGGAGGCTGAGGCAGGAGGATTGCCTGAGCCCAGGAGTTTGAGGTTGCTGTGAGCTAGGCTGATGCCACGGCACTCTAGCCCGGGCAACAGAGCAAGACTCTGTCTCAAAAAAAAAAAAAAAAATGAAATTAGATTCCCTAGGCCCACCCAGCGCTTCCGATGCAGTAGGTCTAGGTGGGGCCTTGCAGTCTGTATTTTCAAAAGTTTCCCCAGGGGACTCTACAGCAGCCGGCTCGAGAACTACTAATCTAAGGTCTTTACCTAGAATGGAATTTTCTCTAATGGAGAAATTTTATATCACTTCTTCCCTCCCTCTCTCCCTCCATCCTTCCATCCCTCCGTCCCTTCGTGGATCTCTGCATCCCTTCGTCCACCCATCCACCCTGCACATAGTACTTGCACTCTAGCTCCGGACAAGCACGCTGGATGCTGGGGAGCAAGACAAGCCCCAGCCGCTGCACCCCGGGGCTTACAGCCTTTCCCCTTCCCTGTCCTCCTCTCCCTGGAGTGCTCGGAATCTTTCCCAGATGTGGCCACTGGACGTGCTTTCTCCCACAGGGCTTTAGAGAATCATGACTCCAGCTGGGCAGGGACCTAAAGGTCTTCGGGTCCATCTGCCTGCCTGAGAGACTGGCCGTCCCCTACTTTCCTCAGATGCCTGTTCCTGCTCCTAACACCCCTGACTCATTTCAGTTCCTCTCACTTTTGCTTAAATCTACCTCCTGTTCCTGCAAATAACACTAAGAGAGGCCCTATTGGCACCAGACACTGAGTACCCGGGCACTGGGGGCGTAGAGAAGAAAGTAAGGGTCTTGGCCCCAGGAACTCACTGTCAGGGTGGGAGTGACAGACAGGTAGGCCAGCAGCCACCACCCTGGGCTACACGTGGAGGGGTAGGATTGTGATATCATGATGTAATAAGAAATATATATTTGGTCTTCATCCCTGGTTTTTGGCACAGATCTCCTAAAACCCTTGTAATTTCCTAAGTGATAGGGGTGCTAATAGCATCTTTTGTTCTAATATTTGGTCTTTGAACTCATTTCCTGACACCAAGCTCCTAACTCCCTTGGAGTATTTTTTTGTCCTAATGTGGCAACTTTTGGTGGTCTCCTGTGTGGGTGCTGGTCACCAGAAAGACAAAACCATGATCAAAAGCTTGAAACCTTCAGCCCTGTCCTCCATCCTCTGGGAGGGGCGAAGGGTTGGGGGTTGAGTTAATAGTCAATCGTGCCTGCGTAATGAAGCCTCCGTAAAGATCCCTAAAGTACAGGACCCGGAGAGCTTCCAGGCTGGTGAACATACGCACGTGCCAGGAGGGTGGTGCACCCCAACTCCACGGGGACAAAAGCCCCTGTGCTCAGGACCCTTCCAGACCCTGCCCCACACACCTATTCCTCTGGCTGTTCGACTGTACCCTTTATCACAGCCTTGATTGTACAAAAACTGGTAAATGTAAGTGTTTTCCTGCGTTCTGTGAGCCACCATAGAAAATTATTCAACCTGAGGAGGGGGTTGTGGGAACCCCGGGTCGCTAGACAAGTTGGAGAGAATTGTGGGTAACCTGGGGACCCACCATTTGTGATTGGCATCCGAGGTAGGGGGACAGTCTTGTGGGACTTAGCTCTCAGCCTGTGGGGTCTGCACGAACTCTAGTAGTGTCATAATTGCATGGTAGGACACTGAATTGTTGTTCAGAGAGTGGGAGAATTGGCTGGTATGGAAAATACCTCCTCATATTTGGCGGTCACAAGTGTTGTGGGAATGATGAAAGAAAAGTGCGTTTTTCCTACGCAGGGTTCCTCTGGGAGCACAGAAGAGGGGCCTCATAGCAGGGGAGGTGTCTCAGGGAAGGTGACTGGAGGCTTGTTGCTTTCTTCCTGCGAAAGCCAGGCGGGCGGCACACCCAGGGAGGATCCATTGTTGAGCGAGGCCCTCCATCTGCCCATGAATTCTGGCCTCTCCGGCTTTCCTACAAGGTCGTATTTCCTGATCTCTGGTCTTCCTCATCCTTCTTCGCAGTTTCCCAGGCAGGAAGCCAGTGATTCCGTGCTCAGGAGAGCAGGCATCTGTGCCAGCCTGCAGGCCTCTCGGTGCCTGCCAGCGTCCTCCCCTGCCCGTCAGCCTCATCTGTGTGGCTTGGACCTGCCCACAAGCTTAGGGTAGGGGATCAAAGTTTGGAGGATGTGACAGGTGGGACCATGTCAAGAACCTGGGCACGGCCCAGTGTGCCTGGGCGCGGGAGGCTCACTTGGCGTGGAAATCAAGCACCCAGGAGTGCTGAGGTCTGGATGTGGCTGTGCCTGGAACTTGCTCTGTGACCTTGAGCACCGTACGCTGAGCTGCACGGAGCTCCGGACTTGAGGAAGCAGAATCTGCCTTTTGACAAGGTGCCTGCAGGATCGGTGTGGACATTTAAGTTTGGGATCCTGCCCAGGAGACTCTCCTCTTGCCATTAGCGTGTGGCTAGGACGGCAACGGTGGTGACCGTGGTCGCTGTCAGACCCCTAGGAGCCTCCTCTGTGATCCCCAAGGGGTTGGACTCCATGGCCTTTGTGGCAAAGCGTGCAAAGTGGCACCTAGCCTCTGGATCTCGCCCTCAGACTGGTTCCGTTTGGACCGATACCATGCTCAGATTCTTTTGGAATAACATGCCAGTATTTAAAAATTGGGAAATTTCTCATCAATATCTAGACTTCCAGTTTTCCCTGAAAAATCAAATGTCACGGGAAATGAACCACGTTCCACGTGGCAACAATTAGTTTCTCCCTGAGAGCTTAGAAACGTTTAGCCCTTGCCCCAAGTTCTCTTCTCATCACGAACACTTTGAGGATAAAATCCCAAGAGCCTCTTAAAACCTGAAAAGATGCTCAGCCTCATTTTTAATATGACAATTACCAATTAAATCGACACTGAGTTGCCATTTTCCACCTGTCTCAGCAGCAAATGTAAAAATGTTTGATAACATACCATGTCGACAAGGGCAAAGGAAACGGGTCCCCTCGCATGCTGGTGGGAAAGTAAGTTGGTGCAATCTCTAAGAGGGACAATCTCTCATTATCTGTCAGAGTTGCCAGACAACACCTACCCCTTGATCAAACAACACCAATTCTAGAAGTTTATCTCACATGCGCCCACATGGGAAGTGTAATTCTAATGCACACATACAAGGTTAGTCATTGTGGCGGTGCTTGTACTAGTTACAGATTGGATCCACCCTAATTGCCCCCAGTGGGGACTGGCTGGGTAAAGATAGGACAGCCACACCACCGCATGCTACATAACGAGGAGCTCTCCGTGTTGTGACAGGGAAGGAGCAGCTCCGCAGTATATTATTTGCTGCAAAAGGGAGGGCGCAGAACAGCACGCAAGGTCCAGTACCGTTTGTGCAGAAAGAGACTCAAGGACCCGGTTAACAGTGGTCATCTCTGGGAAGGGGACCTTGGAGGCTGGGGCACAGGGACAGGAGGGAGTCGTTTGCATCTTTTGAACTTTGAACAATGTCAATGTATTACCTACTCAGAGAATAAAAACGAAAAAACTTTCAGAGACCTAGATTCTGTGGTTCCAACACCACATGATTCTGTTTTAGGACTCGGTGGGCCTAACTTTGATGACTCTGGAAGGCGCATCTCACGTGAGGCCAGCTGCTGATAATCCTCTTCTGGGTCCATCTTCCGGGTCTCTTTGGCCCCGCTCTGTCCCTGAGTCGGGCCGCAGCAGCCCGCGTGAGCTTGAGTGGCTCTGATGGGGGGCTCCCTCCTAGCGTGGTGCAGCTGCACGAACTCCAGCATCTCCTAGCGACTCGGCCCTTGGGCCTCTCTCACTTTCTCTGCCTTCTTTGTCCTCCTAGGGGCGCCTTCTCGGTGGTGCGCAGGTGTGTGAAGGTGCTGGCCGGCCAGGAGTATGCTGCCAAGATCATCAACACCAAGAAGCTCTCAGCCAGAGGTAGGTGCCTGCCCTCTGTGCTGCCCGCCCTCGGGCGCTCTCCTTGCCTTCAGCCCTCCTGCTACTGCTTGGCTTAGAGTCAGGCCCCGGGCCTGTGCCGCTGGGTAATGCTGATGGGCTCTGCTTCCTGAGGGTGTCATGAGCAGAAACTCTTTCTCAGGGAATCAAGGCTGGAGGCCACAGCCTTTCCCAGACAGGCCGAGCTCTCTGCCTCCACAGGTGAAGGCTGAGGCACCAGATGGGACCTCCTTTCCCTGCTCTCCTGCTACCCCTTCATCTCTGCCCTCCAGACCTCCGGTCTTGCCATCCGCTCTGCCTGAATGCCCCAGCCTGGCTCCTCGCGCCGATGGCTATTTGTCAGCCTTCAGGTCTTGTCTCAAAGTCACATCCTTTGAGAGGCTTCCCTGACCCCGTAAATCTGAGGGGCCTCCCCCATTTTCTCTCTGTCATTACTGTTTCTTTCCCTCGTGGCTTTCCCTGGCCTAGACTCATCCTGTCTACTGGCTACTTCCTTGTTTAACATCCGTCTCCCTTTGGACCGTAAGCTCCCAGAGCAGGGGCTGCTCTAGGCCCAGCACCTAGGACAGCTCCTGGCGTCCGGTGAACTCCAGGTGTGCTGGCTTCAACCACACCAGCGCGCTCTCTGGTCCCTAAATAGTAGGTCTGGGGTGTGACCTAGGTTTTGGAAAAGATGCCCAGGTAGTTCAAATCGGCACACAGGTTTGGGAACCACTGCCCTAGGAGCTCAGAAATGGTCCTAGACCAGGGCATCCGCGTCACGGGAGCCTGTTGGAAATGCAGCCTGAGCCCCGCCACAGACCGGAAGGCTCTGCATCTGCATGTTAATAAGATGCCTGGGTGATTTATATGGACATTAAGGCTTCGGAAGCCCTCCCAGGAGATGTGCTTCTTGCCATTAGCCTGTGTTTAGGACAGCAATGGTGGTGACCACGGCCAATGTGTGGGAGAGTGTTATTGTCAAAGACCCTGATCCCCACCCCGACTGAAACAGTGCGTAAGCTTCCCTGGGCACTGCCTGGTGGTGGAGGGAAGCCCACTGGGTGAGGTGGGTGCAGGCGTGGGCCATGTAGCCTCTGGCTTGCGTGGCATGGGGGATGTTATCGAGGGGCAGGCAGAGTGTCCAGGTGTTTGACAGGCTGCAGCTGTGTCTGGGCCAGGCCTGGCAGGTGTGGGTTCACGGAGGTCCTGTGCAGCGGCTGGTACATGTTCACGCTGTTCCCCCGCAGGCCTCCCCGCAGGCCCTGTGTTGGACTGCGTGTTGCTGCCTTTCATCTCTGCTCCGTGTTGCTGGGAGCTCAGCACCTTCTTCTAGTTACCAACCTCCCCCCATGTCTTGCAGGGAAAAGAGGCTGGGCAGAGGGGCAGAAGGGATGGCTGGGGGGTACAGTAGGGGTCTCTGAAGGCCCAGGGCACTCCCGTGGCACACTGTCAGTGTGAAAAGGCCGGACCTGTGGAAGGTCCAGAGCCAGGGCAGGAAGGCTGGCAGGAGTGTTGCATCCTGCCCGGGGGCCTGGATCCGTCTTGTTCTTGCTGTGTGACTAGTGGCAATCTGGTAACCTCTCTGAGCTTTGTATCTCTAGCGATTAAGCGAGATGTCCCAATCCCTGAGATACAGCTGGACAGGACTAGAGTCATGACTTGGGGGTGATGGGTTGAGGTTGCCCCAAGGGGAGGGCGGGTCAGAACCGAGGTCCTCCCTGGAGGCTGGGATCTCAGGCTAGTTCAGCACACCCTCGGGGCACATGCACGCACGCAAGCTCACGCACAGACCGGAAGAGACAGATGTGTGTGGGGAAGTGCAAGGGCCATTGCTCCTCTTTTGGGAGGTGACCAAGCATCCCTGGGACAGTGTAGACCCTGGGATATGCCAGGCTGTAACCACCCAAGCCCCCTTTCTTTGGCAATTCGTTGAGCCTTTGACTTCCTGGAAGGAAGTTGGCCCAGTCCTAGGTGAGTGTGGAGGGTTGGGGTGGGGAGATTATCAGGGAACCTTCCTGAAAAGTCTGCCAACTGCCAGCTGCTTTTCTCCCTAGCAGGAGAGGAGGAGCAGAGCTGCTTTTAGCAGGATTCTTTGTTTGCCACTCATGGTGCCTTGGGGGCGGGGGGAGGGGGGTTAATGCTGAATATTTGGCAACACACTCTAACCGTCTCCTGCTGGCACTCCTGGGTGACTTCCCGGCAGCTCCCAGCAGGGGCTGCGCCCACCCGGGGCCTCTGTCCACCCTCCCAGGGAGCGGTGGCTTCCCTTTGCCCACCCTGCGCAGCCTCCTCTAGCAAGAGGTTCCAAACCCAGGAGATATTTTTTTCTATATTTTTAAACCAGTCTTTTAAAAAAGCTCATAGTATAAACAATTTAAAGAAACCATAAAGAAATGAAACAAAAAGTTAACATTTTGCCTGTCCCAATCCCTGCCAAATCCCCTCAGGAGCTTTTTTAAAAAATGCAGCTGCCTGGGTTCCAGCCCCGAGGGTTGGATTCGGTAGGCGAGGCCCCAGCGCCCGCGATCCTGTCGTCAGAGGCAATAGCTAACACGGGTTGGGCTCACTCCCGCCAGGGCACACAGGGGTAACATTTGGGGCACACTGGGCACACCACCGGTACAGCCAGCCAGAGGCCATTGCCTGGGGACTGTGACCTCCGCAAGCCCCACTGTCCACTCAGGCATGGGAGGGGTCACTTTCCCAGTTCCCCAGCGGCCAGTCTCAGCCAGCATAGCTCAACCAGCCTGCACCTGAGCTGCATTCAGGTCCCTGCGAGGAAGCCTCTGAAGGGACAGTAAGACACATGGTTCCCATCTCCCCCATCCCCTTCTCCGCCCCTGCCAGGTACTCTTGGTCCCAGGATTATTTCTCCGACCTCTCAGGATCTGGAGCCCTGCCGATGGCCCGTGCTGGGAGGGGGCACTTCCTGTTCCCAGACTTGAGGTCTCTTCTCTCCCCTGGCTCCCGTGCCTCCTGCTGGAATCCTGTGCCCACCCGCCTGCTGGAGCCCACCCCCTCCGGAGGCAGAGCCCTGCAGTGTGCCTGAGTGCACTTCCTGCTGGGCGCTGCGCTGTCCTGCAGGGACTGTCTGGCTCCAGGGACCTTGCCCCAGAGTGTCCACCCACCCCTGCCTGCTGAGCTCTGGGCAGGGCTGTGCCCCTGACCCCAACACCCTGGAGGTGACCCAACCGTCCATGGGGGAGGGAGAAGATGTCATCGTGGGCATTAGGATAACCCTCCCAGGTGCCCAGACAAGAGGCTGGAGTCTTCTGTGTTCCCTCAGACCTCTCAACATGCGCAACTCTGCTGAGCTGGACGGATCGATTCAGCAATTAATTAATTATTAGGATGGGAAGCAATAGAGTATAGTAATTATACACATAGACTGAAATCCCAGCTCTGCTACTTGTTCGCTCAGGGGCCTGGGACAAGCTGCTTAGCAGCTCTACGCCAGGCGCTGGGGACGTGGCAGTGACCAATAGACAAGATCTTGCTCTCGTTGTGCCTGTTTTCTAGGGAGTGACACTGAAAAGAACATGAAACATGAAAATCAGGTGGGTAGTTTTAGGTGTTGACAAGTGCAATAAAGAAAACAAGACAGTGTAAGGGGGAAGCGGTGAGGCGGGAGGGATATGCTTAGAAAAGGCAGCCAGGGAAGCTCCCCCAGGAGGTGACATGCTGGAACTGGCCTGATGAGGAGGGGCAGCCGTAAGAAGACCAGGGGAAAAGCGTTCTGGGTAGAGGGCACAGCAAGTGCAAAGGCCCTGTGGTGGGTAGGAGCTGCCATGCCTGAGGCCAGAGAGGAGGCCAGTGTGGCTGGAGCTTCATGGCTGAGGTGAGACAGGACCCAGCATGGGCTTGCTGGCTGTAGCAAGGAGTCTGGGTCGTATCATAAGCACACTGGGAAGCTGTTGGAGAGTGAGAAGCCAGGAAGTGATAAGATTTAATTTACATCTTAAAATCAACTCCTCAGCTGCATGGACAATTGGGGGAATGTGGGGACATAGTCCCAGAGTTGGGGCCTCGGAGCTCTGAGTTCTAATAAGGCTCAGCCAACCCGACTAGTGATTTTGATGGAGGGACTGCTCTTTCATCATCGGGCCTCAGTTTCCCCATCTACATAACAGAGCCAGGCGGCAGAGGTCAAAAGAAACTTGGTCCCTGTGTGTCATGAGGTTCTCTGTGTATGAGAAAACGGGAACATTGCAAACAGAGTTAACAGAAATTATTGTACACTGTATATGTTTACAGTCAACAAATTAATACTTTTCACAGTGAAAGTTACAACAGAGTGTAATCGAGCTATGTACAAGATGATGAAAAGATTTACAAAGACAGTTCCTAGCGTTTCCAGCAGTGAGGCCTGGTAACCTGACACAAGCTTAAAGTGCGATCAACGCGTTCTTTTTTCAGTCCTGTCGGTGTACTCTGTTCCTGGGTAACTTCACAGGGAGAAAACAGCAAAATTCTGGATTTGGGCCCCTGGGCCCTGGAAAGTGTAGCCTAGGCCAGGAGGCCCCTTCCCCCTCTGACAGGGCTGACTTTGACCTGCCCGGGTTCTGGTTCTTCTGGGGGTGGGGGGTGGAGGTGGGGGGGCCAGCCTTTCCTACTGAGGGCTAGCCAGGCCAGTCCTCCCCTGCCCTGGAGGATATGGAGGAGGGGACTCAAAGGAATGCTCCCCACCCAGCCCCACTTCCCCTCCCTAGCTCCCAGCCAGCCTTCAGCCGGGGAGTTGAGCCTATGGAAACAGAATTGGACTTCATTGCTTCGCTTATGGAAAAGCCGCCTTCCAGTATTGATCTTGGCTTCTGCAGCCCTTAGAGGACAGCCAGTGATTGCTCCAGTGGAGGGCGCAGGGGAAAGTGGAACTGGGTGCTCGGAGGCAAAGGTTGGGACTTTCTCCGTCCTCATTCCCCTCGAGGGACCATTCAGAGACCAGGCTCCTAGTCCTGGCTCACCTCTGAGTGTCCACATGGGTTCCCGTCCGCAGGCCTTGATGTTCCCATCCGGGAACTGGGCGCAGGCGGAGGTGGAGGTTATGAGCCGGGCCGTGGAGAACAGTACAGCACAGGCTTTAAAGCCCTGCTCTGGAGTCTGACCGCCTGGGTACAAGGCGTGGCTCCACCACTCACCTTAGGTGTGACTTTGGGCAGGTACTTAACCTCTCTGACAGGGTCTTATTTTTTTTTTTTTTTGAGACAGAGTCTCGCTTTGTTGCCCGGGCTACAGTGAGTGCCGTGGCGTCAGCCTAGCTCACAGTAGCCTCAAACTCCTGGGGTCAAGCAATCCTTCTGCCTCAGTCTCCCAAGTAGCTGGGACTACAGGCATGTGCCACCATGCCCAGCTAATTTTTTCTATATATATATATTTTTAGTTGTCCAGATCATTTCTTTCTATTTTTTAGTAGAGACGAGGTCTCGCTCTTGCTCAGGTTGGTCTCGAACTCCTGACCTTGAGCGATCCACCACTGAGCTCTGGGCAGGGCTGTGCCCCTGACCCCAACACCCTGGAGGTGACCCAACTGTCCATGGGGGAGGGAGAAGATGTCATCGTGGGCATTAGGATAACCCTCCCAGGTGCCCAGACAAGAGGCTGGAGTCTTCTGTGTTCCCTCAGACCTCTCAACATGCGCAACTCTGCTGAGCTGGACGGATCGATTCAGCAATTAATTAATTATTAGGATGGGAAGCAATAGAGTATAGTAATTATACACATAGACTGAAATCCCAGCTCTGCTGTTTACTAGGTGAGTCTCACTTTGTTACCCTGGCTAGAGTGAGTGCTGTGGCGTCAGCCTAGCTCACAGCAACCTCAAACTCCTGGGCTCAAGCAATCCTCCTGCCTCAGCCTCCCGAGTAGCTGGGACTATAGGAATGCGCCACCATGCCCGGCTAATTTTTTCTATATATTTTAGTTGTCCAATTAATTTCTTTCTATTTTTGGTAGAGACGGGGTCTCGCTCTTGCCCAGGCTGGTCTCGAACTCCTGAGCTCAAACAATCCGCCCGCCTCGGCCTCCCAGAGTGCTAGGATTACAGGCGTGAGCCACCGCGCTCGGCCCTGTTTTTTGTTGTTTTTAAATTAAGACATCAACTACCAAATTGTGAGGAAAGCACCAAAAAGGGAATCGGGAAATGCATTTTCACTTCCGACGCTGCCCCCCGCCGAGGCCTCGGCTTGCTCAGGCTGCAGTTTCCTCATCTATAAAATGGGGACAGTGAGGCCACAGCCAACACCAGGGGTGTTGGGGGCACTGAATGGGGTCGTGGGTCTGACTGTTCCCAGCAGCCTGGGGTCAGAGGTCACGGGTGGCCGATCCCGAGCAAGGCCTCTCTCCCAGGCATGTGGGGGCCCCCCCTGGGTGATCTGGGTGGAAGTCCTGGAAGGCAGAGTGAGGGCTGCCACACAAGTTCTCCCCTGCAGATTCCTTGGGGCTCTCTGTGTTCTTGGTCCCAGAGTCCCGTAAAAGGAAAGCGGCTCCTGGGAATCAATTCAGGTCCTCTGGAGAGAACAGTCACTCTTTTAGAAAGGTGCATTCATTCGATCATTCGTTCCTTCATTCGGTTATTGCTTGAGCACCTCCTAAGTGCCAGGCATTCAGGCAGCTGCCAAGGGTACAACAGAGACTGAGTCCCTGCCCTCAAGGATCTAGATGTCCATGATACAGAGTGGAACATGCTGTCTGGGGGCCCTCAGAACACAGAAGAGGGGCCCCTGCCCACTGGTAGTCAGGGCAGGCCACCAGGGGCCGGGGGCATCAAAGGACAGGCAGGAGTGAATGATGGCCAGTGAATGACAGGTGGGAGGAAGAGGGAATATTCCAAGCTGAGAGCACTGCATGCGTGATTGTTTTTCTCCCGAAGCGAGAGGGCCCAGGGCGTGCGTGCAGAGCGAAGTTCAGCCATCAGTCTGGCTGGAGAGCAGGGCCCGAGGGGCAGGCCTGGAGCAGGGAAGCAGGAGCCAGACCTTGGGGGAGCTCTGGGCTGCGTGGAGCTTGGGCCTTGTACAGGAAGGGCTTTGGGGATGCCCCTCCTTGGAGAGCGCTGGAAACAGAGGCCCCGAGAGGGGCAGGGATGCGCCCGAGTCACTGAAACGCAGGCCTCTCCCTCTTTCCACCGCGTCCCCTGCCTTCCTGGAGAGCTCAGAGTCCCTGGCCAAGAGGTGAGCTTCTCCAGCCCCAACGGCTGCCCTGGGAGGCAGAGCTAATGAGCGGCAGTGAGGAGGGTGGGATGGAGGGTGGAGCTTCCTCCCTCACCTGGAACTCACCTGAGCGTCTGTGTTTCAGACCATCAGAAGCTGGAGCGTGAAGCCCGTATCTGCCGCCTGCTGAAGCACCCCAACATCGGTGAGCCCTGGGGACACGTGGGGGTGCGGGCCGGCCCTGCTCCCGGCCCATCCTGGCCCGGGGGTGTTTGTGGGTGGGATGGAGAGCAGCTGCTCTCTTCTCAGGGACGGAGGCAGCAGAGATGGGAAAGGGGGCGTCTTTAATGGTTTCCACATTCCTCGGAGCCAGCCTGTTTCGGGGGAAGGTGCAGAAAGGGCCCTTCCTCCCATCCCACACTGCCGGCAGCCTCCTTCGGAAAAGCTGTTTCAGGAAAACTCCTAAAGCTCTGGGAGAGATGAAAATAGGCCGGCCGGGGCGGGGCTGGGGGGAGGGGGAAGCTTGGCCTTGGCCGGTGTGGCCCACTCCCCAAACCCAGCCCCTTGCCGAGTCAGCCTGTGCCCACCTCCCCAGCCCCGCTGGGGGCAGCTCCGACTCAGGCCTGCCCCAGAGGCGGACGGAGCACAGGCTGCACAGAGAGGCTGGGCCCATGCTGGGCTGGGACAGAGCCAGGGCGGCAGCAGCCATGGGGGCAGGTCCTCAAACGGCACCTCACTGACCTCCCCTCCCCACCCAGTGCAACTGGGGGGCTGATCCCTGCCTGTCGGGGTCCAGAGTCATGACAGGAGGAAGTGTGGCTTTGAGATCTAATTCTGTCGGGGAATGGCTATGTGACGCTGGCCAGGAACATTACCCTCTCTGGGTCACTTTTCCCCATCTTCACAAAGAGAGGGCTCCCTTTGTTGAATCACTTGGGCATCTGTGAAAAGGTAGGTTCTTGACTCAGTGGTCTGAGGTCTTGCAGTTCTAACACGCTCTGAAGCCATGCTGAGGCTGGAGGAGGGGGTCTAGGTGGTCTCTAAGGACCATTCCCACCCCGCCAGCCGCCACACCCTCTCACTTGGGAGGGAAACCTCTCTCTGTGCCCAGGGCCCCAAGGGTTAACTCTCCTACCGGAGAGAAGCATCTCCATCTGCTATTTATACCCAAAAGGCACCTCCCCTTCCCTGCACAAACAGCAGGGCTGGCATCAGAGAAGAGGCAGCAAGGAGGCTGGCAGGGAGGAACCCTGGTTGAACCCTGGTCCCTGACCTGCTAATGTCCTTTTTGTGTGGCCTTGGGCAGTTTCTGCCAACCCCCGGCCTCCAACTCCCCAAGCGTATGATGGAGGGGTTTGTGAGTGATCTCTGACTGTAAAATTCCATGGTTCTTAAAGACTGTCAGCTCCAGAGGAAGGAGGCGGGGAGTGTGAGTGTGTGTGTGTGTGTGTGTGTGTGTGAGTGTGTGTGTGTGTGTGTGTGTGTGTGTGTGTGTGTGTTGCTGCACAATCACAGCTGTCTTGGGTCAATGCTGCCTCCTCCTGTTTGTGCCTCCCTCTGCCCCCTCATTCCCAGCTGTGATGGGGAGCAGTAAGTTATGGGTTCTCGAGCTGACAGACTACAGCTCAAATCCTGGGTTTGCTGTTTAATTGCTGTGTGACCCTAGACATGTTGCTTAACCACTCTGGAGCTTAGCTTTATCCGGAAAATGGAAGCGATACCTACCGCATGGGACTGTGATGATAAAATAGAGCATAGCACAATGACAGTCTCCGAGGCGTGCTTTATCATCATTAAGCTGCCCCCATTTCCCCCAGTCCACACCTTTGTGTAGAGCAACCTTACCTGAAGACATCCTCTTGCCTGAAACAATAAGACTGTTGTTTCTCTGAGCCATCAGGATTTTTGGTCATCACTGAAACACTGTATGTAACATGGTGGTTAAGAGAATGGGTTTCGCAGTCAGACACACCAGGTTTCAATCCCAGCTCTGCTGTTTACTAGGTGTTTGAGCTTGGGCAGGCTATGAACCTCTCTGAACCTCAGTATCCTCCTCTGTGAAGTGGGGATAGTCACAGTACCCACCCTCTTGGACTGTTGGGAGGGTTCAAGGTGATAGTGCAAGTAAAGCACTTAGCACAGAGCCTGGCATGTGGTAAAAGCTCACAGATGAGAGCTATCATCTTCATCACCATCATCATCCCCTTCCTGCATCCATTCACCTGACGTCAAGTGCACGGTGGACCCACCACGTGCCAAGGCGTCTGCTAGGCACTGAGAATGTGGTCGGGAAGTGAGGATGGGGCGTGGCGGTGGAGTGGGTGTGGGCTGGTTGACACACAGTGGACGGGACAGCAGAGGTGAGCATCCAGCACAGGGACACTCTCAGAAGAATTCTGAGCTATTGCCAGGGCCGGAAAGGTCCTTGGAGGGTGCACCTTCCTGCTGCTCCAAGCACCTCGTGGCAAAGTAGGTTGTAATCTTCCCAAAGAAGTGCGAAGAGGTGCAGTCGTGAGTGTCGAACCCGAGAGGTGAGTCTATTCCTAGAGAAACCAGACCGAGTCCCATTCAGCTTGCTTGGTGACGCCAGAGGAGATTACTAGTTGCTGCCTATGTGTGGCCACCGCCCAGCCCCAAGGGGCCCAGGTCAGGGGGGTCCCTGGCTCAGCACAGATCAGTCCAACGGCGCCGTGCTCAAAGCATTGACCTCCCAGATCCTGCTTGGGGGAGGACAACACCCTGCTCTCCGAACCATCACCACCCGCAGATGGGGCACACCCCAGAAGGCCACCCCAGGGTGCAGGGGACTTGGGCTGTGCTAGGGACAACCTGAGAGTTTAGTGGGTGATTTGGGGTGGAGAAGGGAAGTGTGGTTGGTCAACGATGAAGATGACGATGTGTTCATTTATTGAACTTTTCCTCCTGCCAGGCACTGTGCTAAGTGCTTTACAAGAAGTGTCACAATAATTACCCACACCAGTCCAGTGGTATTAGCGGCACTGTTAGGAATGCAGGCACAGCGAGGTTAGGTCATTTGCCCATGGTAACACAGCTAATATGAGGTGGCTCTGGGAGGTGAACCCAGCAAGTCTGACGCCAGGGCCCAAGTTCTCATTCTATTTAGCTTCCCAAGTGGACACCACAGTGTGGTGTCAGGGGCACACGCAGATAAGGAAACAGTACTATTTTTCAACCTCCAAGACAAAAATCGTGACTGTTGGAAATACCACAGGAATGTCAGAAATTCATGAATCCGGCTACATAAATGAAAACTAGGTTACAGATTTGTTTGTTCTACGACAGTATTATAAAAAGTCAAAAGTGACAGCATAATTCAGTGGGCACAGACATGCCAATCACCCCGCCAGGAGGCAGGATTGTTACTAGAGCCCGTGGCCCTTGAATCCTGCCTTTCGCCTTGGGCTGAGTCGTTCCTCAGGGCAGCCGCCATAGACGGAGGGGAGGCTCCGGGCACGAACACGGCACTGAAATGGAGTCCTGTCTCCTGGGCTCCGAGGTGTGATTTGCCTCCCCTCAGGAACTGAAGCTGACACCGGTACCGTGGCGCAGGTGGTGCACTGCCTAAGCGGGTGCAAGTCCAGCCCGTGTGCCCCTCACCCGGCTGCTCAGAGGGGCTGCCTTTTCCGATCAGCACGGAGGCGCCTTCCGAGTGAGGGTCAGCTCTGCAGAACACCTCCCTCGATTCTGGACGTTTCCCTGAGCCCTGAGGACCTTCTCCAAAGGGGCCGGGCTCTCTGGTCAGAGGGTGGATCTGGGACCCCAGTCTTCTCGGGGCTCCTTTCGAAGGCTGTTGGCCTGGTTCTGAAAGCCCTTTCTGAGAAGAGCGTGGCTGCGGCTTGGCTTCCCAGAGTTTCTCAATGCAGAAAAGGGAAGGCACAGACCGCGGTCCGCCAGAGTGGACAGGAAGGGGCCCACTCTCCAGGAGACCACTTGGGGGGAGACGGGGAGAGGAAAAAGTCTTTGTCAAAACGTTACTTTGATACACTAATGATGCAAATTTATTGTAGATAAATGAGAGACAAATGCTTTTTTAGAAGTATCTCCTACAACCTCACCACCTAGAGCAGCGGTCCTCAACCTTTCTGACATCAGGGACGGTTTTCATGGAAGACAATCTTCCCATGGACGGTGGGCGGGGGTGGAGCTCGGGTGGTAATGTCAGCAGTGGGGAGGAGCTCGGGTGGTAATGTCAGCAGTGGGGAGCGGCTGTAAGTAGAGAGGAAGCTTCCCTCTCTCTGCAACTCACCTCCTGCTGTGCACCCCTTCCTGACTTTCATGGAAGACAATTTTTCCATGGTGGGGGCAGGGCAGGATGGTGGAGCTCTGCCGCCCCGTCCCTAACAGGCCATGGACCAGTACCATGGCCCAGGGCTCTGGCTCTGCGGCCCAGGGCTTGGGGACTGCAGACCTAGAGCTAACGTTTTACGATATATGCTTCCGTATGATATATATGCACCTTCTCAAGTACCGTGCACCGAAACACACCATCTCAGGCCAGGTTTCCCAGGAGCAGAGCCTGAGACAGGGAGGCAGGGGTGCCGTTAGCAGCCAACACTCCCAGCAGCTGGGGGACGGATGCACCAACTTACCAAAGGGATCTGGGCAGGGTGCAGATGTATTGCCAGATTTTACACACAAAAAAATACAGTTAAATACACGTATACATTTTACAAATTAAGCCTGCATTTATTCTGAAATGCAGTAAAAAGTTCAAATAAATGAATGGACAGAGGAATGGGTAGAAATGTAGTAAAGCAAGTGCGGGAAAACATTCGTGATAGAATCTAGATTCTAGGTGGTGGGTGTATGGGTGCTCCCTTAACTGTATGTCTGAAACTTTTTGTAATAAAATGTTGGGGCTGGGCGCGGTGGCTCACGCCTGTAATCCTAGCACTCTGGGAGGCTGAGGAGAGAGGATCGCTTGAGGTCAGGAGTTCGAGATCAGCCTGAGCAAGAGCAAGACCAAGAGCAAGACATCGTCTCTACTAAAAAATAGAAAAAATTTGCCAGTCAACTAAAAATAGAAAGAAAAAATTAGCCAGGCATGGTGGCTCAAGCCTGTAGTCCCAGCTTCTCGGGAGGCTGAGGCAGGAGGATCGCCTGAGCCCAGGAGTTTGAAGTTGCTGTGAGCTAGGCTGACGCCACTGCACTCACTCTAGCCTGGGCAACAAAGCGAGACTCTGCCTCAAAAAAATAAAAAATAAAGTAAAATGTTGATAAGAAATTAAAGCAGCAGTATATTATATGTATTCTTAAGATTTTACTTTAAAATATATTTAAAACATCTTTCAGTTATTATTTATAAATATGTGTCATCATTTAAAAATGTTTTAAAATTTCATTTAAATTTGTGTCCCCTTCATCCTCCATCTCTGGTCCCCATCCCCCTGCTCCTATAAGGCAGCCACTCTGGGGCATGCGATGCCCACCTGTCAGTCCACTCTGCAAATTTTCTGTGCAAATATGAGAGCCGTAAACAATTCAGGGACTCACTACTACTGAGTCAGACATACATGCACATGGCAAAAATTCAGGTGATAGTAGGGGTCACCATGAAAAGTGAGTCTCCCCCCATGACCCAGCTCCCTCACTTCCCCTCCCTAAAGGCACCCCCAATGCCAGCTTCTCTGTATTCTTGCAGAGAGACTTAGGCCATATATAAACTTAAATACATCCTTTTTAAAAACTACTACACATACTGGTTTGCACTTGGCTTTTCTGCCAAACAACATAATTTGGACACATAACTGCTGCATTATTTTAACAGCTGTGTCATTTTCCATTGTGCGGATGGATCATAATTCACTGAGCCAACACCCCACTCCGTGAACATTTTGAGGTTGGGATGCAGGGAAGGATGTGAGCCCGTCCTGGGAGAACTTGCCCTTGGCTGTCCCCCAGAGTCAGCCCCGGGCCTCGGGGCCCTTCCTTGCAAAAGCTCAGCGAGTAATGTTGGGCTCCTGGGAGCTTTGCCTCTGTTCTTGGTAAATGAGGTGTGAAGAGATGACAGTTTCTTGGCATGCCAGAACTCAGGGACCTTGTCACTCCTGCCTCCAGCCTCCACTCTCTGTTATATCCTCAGACCTGGGAGCAGGGCAGGGATATTAGCTCGGGGCCAGCACTGAGTGAGCACCAACTGTGTGCCTCATGGAACTCTCACCACAAACCTGCAAGTCCAGGAGTTACGTTCCCATTGTTCAGGCAAAGAAAGAGAGGTTCAGAAAGACCTAGCAACTTGCCTGAAGTCACACAGCTAGGAAGTGGCAGATTGGAGCCACAGGCTCGTTCTATGACTCCGGCCTGCCTGGCAACAAAACTGAGGGTTGGAGAGGGGAGGGGATGAGACTCTGACCAAAACGGTCATCTTTATTTAGCCTTTAAGCCCAGGCTTCTTTCAGTAATGCCCAGGGCCTGTGTGTGCTTGTTGTATTGAGCTCTTCCTCGCCTGTGTTTGTCAGAGTACCCGGCACCCAGTTTGTGCTCACTGTCCGGGAAACTGGGATGTTGGCTAGAGGAGGGGCGAGAGGGCGGGAGGCGGTGGGGAGCAGTGTGTCCTGGTGTAACCCACTGCCTTGCCCTCCCACAGTCCGACTCCATGACAGCATCTCGGAGGAGGGACACCACTACCTGATCTTTGACCTGTGAGTTTGGCCTCACCCTGGGTTGTGCCACGGGTGTCAGGGGCAGCCTGGGCAGGGATGACCTCGCTGGGCCCCTTGGCCTGAAGGGCTCCAGATGCCATTAGGCTGGGCAGAATTCCTTCTTTTCATCCACAGTTTGCCCAAATGTGGTAGGCCTGCCACCCAAGCAGTGCAAGTTGGTTTTCCTGAAACACCAACAAACATTTTTAGCTTTCATCCTATATTTATTTTTGTTTCTCTTCTATTTGTGGCCAGTGATGCTGGTTTTCCATTTGCAGTGGCAATATAAAGTTTCCTTTTGGAATATGTTTAATTTTTGAAAGATAGTCGATTGGCAGAAAAGCAGCGATGAAATGATAGGCCCCGGGGGTTCCTGGGATGGCAGTGAAAGTCAGCCATGGGGCTGGTCCAGGTAAACGGGCTGGACATGTTGATGATGGGGGAGGCTGCGGGCTTCCTAATGAACCCAGTGATGCGTTCTGAGTGTCACCCACTTCTGGGGTGCAACCTGGGCCCAGTGGGGGAGAAGGACAGGGGTGGAGAAGGAGAGGGGAGAGGAGTCAGCAGAAGGAAGTGCTGGAAGATAAAGGGGATTGTAAGAGGGGCACCCCAGAGGTCCTGGGGCCCCTCCTTTTGTGGCTGAGGTCTTGAGATCCCTGGACCGCATTCTTAGCTTCCTGCCTCTATGGAAGGGTGATTCTGTGCCTGTCTCCCCAGGGTCACTGGCGGGGAGCTGTTTGAAGACATCGTGGCCCGGGAGTATTACAGCGAGGCAGATGCCAGGTGAGTGCCAGGTGCTGCCTGGCAATGGCACCCAGGGGCCAGGTACTCTCGCCCTCTGTCAGCGTCCCGGGGAGGCCTGTGCTCACACCGCTGTGACCCCTTCCTCTCTCTCTCCCTAGTCACTGTATCCAGCAGATCCTGGAGGCTGTGCTGCACTGCCACCAGATGGGGGTGGTGCATCGGGACCTGAAGGTGAGCAACCCACGCGGGTGCGGCTCACCCCGGGAGCCCGCCCACCCCGGAGCCTGCCCACCTCCGTACTTCCCTCCTGCAGAGCCGAGTGTTACCAGAATCCTTTCAATGTCCCCGAGTTAGGCTGGAAGGGGGTTGGGTAGGAATATTTTCCCACCGTTTGGATGAGGAAACTGAGCTCAAGAAGGTAGAGCACCTGGGTTTGGGCCCCTGGTCTCCCATCTCCCAGCCCACGTGCTTTGTGGCTATGGTGGGGTGGGGAAGAAGGTAGGCCGGGGCCCAGTCCCAAGCAGGCCACTTGCCAGCCGCGTAGTCTAGAGTATCCTGACCCCCCTGAGCTGCAGCTCCTTTACTATGGGGTTGCCATAGCAACCCCTGCAAGGGGTTGGTGAGGATGTCAAAAGAGATAGCACAGTGCCTGGTATACAGACACATTGTTACTTTTGTTCCTGGGTCTCTGGCAGGCTGGGAGAGAAGAAAAACAGGACTCTAGGGTGACCCTGCCAGGTATCCAACAAACCTTTGCTTTTTGACCTTCAGAGATGAGGATCTCACTTCTCATGGGGTAGCCCCTTGACCCATTGGGGAACACTGTTTCAATCTTGCCTGCTATGGGAGCTTTGCCCTGAACCTCAGTTCTGCTATTTGGAACCACACAGAGATCAAGCCTGTAGCTTGGAACAGCCCTACAGGGACTGGGGCAACCTTGTCATAGCTCCTAAGTCTCCTGCAGGCTGTATGCCGCCATTCCCACCCAGGACTTGGTTCCCAGGCTCTCCCCATCCTGGGCACCCTCCCTGGGCACCCTCCCGGGGCATGCTCCAGTCCGTCCAGCTCCCTCTTTGGGGCACAGTGCTCTGAATGGAACCCCTGCCCACCTCTGACTGTCACGGGCAGCCCATGGCTTCTCACCTGAGCTGCAGGTGAGCTCCCTGTGGCTCCGTCTAGACACATAGGCAAGTGTACACTTGAAGAGGGTCTCTGGCCAGACTGCAGGGCGGCTCTCCCTGAGGGCCTGTTCCCGTTATAGCTACAGCCCCTGCACGGGAGGAGGAAGGAGGAGAGGCAGCCCAAATTTAGGCCACTCTGGATACACTAATTAGTGACACATTCATCAAATCAGGGCAGGACGGCTACCGAGACCCAGGACATGTTGGGAACGCAGTCCCCAGAGGACAAAGGAGGCCTTATCAAGCCAGGCAGAGGGAGCTATACTTGTTTGGGTCCATCCTAGCTTTGGACAGTGAACGGTGAGAGGTGGACTCCTTGGAAGTCTCACTGGGGATGGGGGTCAGAGGAGGTCCGGAAACCAAGACTCTAGAGAGTCCGAGCCCCTCCCCAGGTAGGAAATATGAATCCCAGGGTTGATCAAGTGCTTGCCGTAGGCCACTGTGAAGTACGTTACAACTATCTTAATTAATCCACGTACCGCCCCATAAGGTGGCTATTTTTCTGAGATGAAACCTAAAGCTCAGAAGTGAAATAATTTCCAAAACTGCTCAACATAGAAGTGGCAGCACTGGGATGCGAAGCCAGGAGTACCTAAGCGCAGAGCCCACACTCTTAGCATCCCTCTGTCCTGAGCCCTCCAAGGTGGAAGAGGGCCAGCAGGAAGTGGAGGAATTCGGGGACCCTGAGCCAGTGAAAGGCAGCAGCTTCGATGCCCCAGATGCCAGGCGTTGGGCCGTCCCCAGGTTGGCTGCTGGTCCCATGTATAAGCGTCACCATCTTTCAGCCTCGAGTGGTTAAGATGGAGTCAGACTTTGCCTCGATGCTGGCTCTATCACTTGCCAGCTGTGTGATCTTGGTCAAGTCGCTTAACCTCTCTAAGCCTCAGTTACCTCATCTTTATTTATTTAAAAACTTTTTTTTTGTGGAGACGAGGTCTCACTATGTTGCCTAGGCTGGTCCTGAACTCCTGGCCTCAAGAGATCCTCCTGCTTCAGCCTCCCAGAGTGCTGGGATGACAGGCATGAGCCTCCGTGCCAGGCCCTCGTCGTTATATATATGATGAATACTTACTAAATGCCTGCTATGTGCCACTCCCCCGCCCCAATCCTAGCTGCTGGGGATACAGTGGTGAACAGGACAGATGAGGATCGCACATTCCGCAGGGCTGACAGATTGTGAACAAGCACATAGACAGATGGAAAAACATTCCTAATTACAATGAGACCTAGGAAGGTAACAACAGGAGCTAAGACAGAGGATACCTGAGGCCTCCTCCATTTTAGAGTAGTCAGGGAGGGCCTCTTTGAAGGGGTGACGTGAGAGTGAGAGCTGGACAAACAACCAGCCCTGTGGAGTTCATGGGGAGAGCAAATCAGGCAGGGGAATAGGTAGTGCAAAGGCCCTGAGGTAGGAACAAGCAGGACTATCTCAAGGGGCGTCGGAAGCCGCTGTGGGAAATGGGCGTCTCACCTATCCCAAAGGGTTGCTGAGATGATACATGAGCTGGTGTGTGCAGAACACTTAGCCCAGTGGCTGGCGCATAGTAGGGGCACAATAGACATTGCTGTTTCTTTCTTATTGCGATGGACCCCCGGCCCCACCCTCACCTCAGCCCCACCTCCAAACCCTGAGGGGAGGATGGTGAGGGGTGACTGGTGGAGGAAGGGTCTTTCTGTTTTAGCAGATGACAGTCATAAAATAGTCCCCTCTCTGGGGACTGAAGCTCAGGACTCTGTGGCTGGGGCTGGAGGTGGGGGCAGGGGCCTCTGGAGTGTCCAGCCGCCCTTCCTGCAAGCCCGGGCCCCAAGGCGAGATTCTGCACCTGCTGACTGTCTCTTGGCCCTTTCCTCCCCCTTCTCCCTCTTCTCTCCTCCCGGCAAGCCGGAGAATCTGCTGCTGGCCTCCAAGCTCAAGGGGGCCGCGGTGAAGCTGGC